TACTTCAAATGATTTACATTCATGTAAATGCTTTAAATAGAAAGAGTGGTTACTTCACTGACTTTGCTTTCTCTTTAAGTTTTTTTTTAAAAATTATCTCTTACTTCATATAATTTACATTCTTGTAAATGCGTTGAATAAGAAGAGAGGTCATTTTACTGACATCACTTTCTCTCTTACTTAAAATGATTTGCATTCATAGTTATGCGTTGAATATGAAGAGAGGATAGATAAGATAAGAGTGGACATGCAAAGCTAAGATCTGTGATCGCTCTCCTCTCCATCGCTTCATCGACGCAAAATGTTCTCTTCCCTTAATCAGTTCAGAAGTTTTCTTTCTTGAGGCCGCACGCACCGCGATCGCACGGATAAATTGTGGGTGATTTAGCAAGTGTTAAAAATGTTAAATGTTAGAATTTAATATAAAAAGTGATCGCAGATCCGTGTTTTTGTTCAATATATATTGATTTAATGCCAAATTACAAATTGTGCTCCGTGTGAAAAGTGATAAAGAAGAACACAAAAAAGAAATTGAGAAGCAGCAAAGCGCCGTTATTTTCTCATTCCACCTTGCCCATTACCTGTACTATTGTCATTCATAAACCGCTGCACTCCGCGGCAACGCAAAAATTGGTTTTGGTTTTTAAAAGTGTTAAAAGTATATAAAATTATACATGAAAAGTGATCGCAGGACCGTGATTTAAATATTGTTAATTAGATATTGTGTTAATAGTAAATTTGACAATTTTGTTTGCCCAAAATGCAAATTGTGCTACGCCGGTCAAGTGTAAAAGAAGAAGCGAAAAATAAAAGAGATAAGCAGCGAAGCGCCGTTATCTCCTCTTTCCCTCAGCCCCTTACCTGTACAATTGTCATTCATAAACCGCTGCACTCCGAAACGGTTCGCTAAAATTGGCTTGGCTTTAAAAAGTGTTAATAATATATAAAATAATACATAAAAAGTGATTGCAGAACTATATTTTCTTAAATATTTATTGTTTTAATAGTGAATTTAACTATTTGTTATGCCAAATTAAAAATAGTGCTCCGCTGTATATGATTTTTTTTTGGTGTTCGCCAAAGATATTTCCTTCATTGATATTTTCTTTCTTTCTTTCTTACATGCCGAAATAAATGAATTAAATACTGCGGTGAAGAGGAGATGAAACAGTGCAAGAGGTAAAGCTTTACGAAGATCCGTTAGCCTATCGTTTCGTCTGCGACTTAAAATTGTTTTTGCTGGTATGTAGAGCTTTTTAGCTTTGTAGTTTTGCATTTTGTTGTTGTCATTCTTAACGACTGGCAATCCAAATTAGTTGTACATACAAAGTGATCGCAGGTCAGTGCTTTGATTTCTATTCAATATTAAAAATACTAATAAAAACTTTTGTTCTTTTTGCTTCGCGGGACATATACATATATGGAAATATGGAGAAAAAGACCGACTTAACTGGAATGAGACGTTTTAATCGGAAAGTTCAACAAATAATAAGGAGGATTAAGGTAAGTCAACTTTTATGTTTTCTTTTTTATATATAAGTACCTTAGACAATTATCGAACTCAGTTTTCGATTTAAGGCCACTGATAAGCTGATTACTCATTTTTCACTTTAAATCAAAAACAATGCTAGAGCATTTGCTGCGTTATTTTGAATTTTGAAAGCAAAGAAAATCGATTTCGTATATTTTATAACTACCATTTTTGCCCAGTGCCGCTGTAAGTTGGTCCATTTCCAGGACTTGGCTTGAAATTGGCTGGCTGTTGGGATGGTGTTGGTTAGGAGGGTAGCGTGAGTAGCTTGGTGGGTGCTTACGTGGGTGGTATTTTCCGGGCTGTGGGTTCAAGTGTCAGCCCTTGCCATCTTCTTCTTTGGGCCTTGTGGCAGCATCAAGTTGTGTTCGTGTTTGCTTTGAAAAGTATATTGGATTGCCCTAGCCACAAATACCCATATGTCTGCGTATGTCTGCTCATTTATCCATCTATATCTATATGTATATAAATATATAACTATCTGATATATCAGTCGGCTAACCAAAGGCCGTCTGCTGCTGATGCTGAAATTTTTCCACTTCTGTCGGAAGATTTTTTTTGGGTTTCTTTTTTGCATTGGCCCCATTTTGCTTTGTTTTTAATTTCGTATCTATACAAATATTTTCAATCGTTTGCGGTGGGGAAATTTTTGGGTTTTTTGTTTTTGGGAAAGTTTACAAGCTAAGCCACTTTAAATGTTAAACAAAATTATAACCGAATTCATAGGAGGCAAGTGGAAAAAAGGTTAGTTTGCCCACACATGTCGAACATACAAGAAAAGCGTTGCAATGGGTTAACGAAGGGGTTAGGGAAGGCATAGAGAAGGTGGGTGGAAAAAGTGAAGGAGGTGATTCGAATAGATTGTGGCGCTGTTTGAATTTCTGCTGAAGTTAACATTTTTATAATTCCATTAAGCGGACGGTCGTGTCTCTGTCTCCCTTACTCTCTCTATCGTCGGCCCAAATTCTCTGCCACCTTCTTTTTCACATGTGTAACATGAGGATTTTCACACACACACACACACACATACACACTCCCACACTGACTGGTACAATGGCAAAACGGCCATACAAAGTTGGTCCGAAAAGTTTTTGCATTCATAAATCATTTCCCTCTTTTTCCAGCCTCACCTTCATTCCACTTTTAAAGGTGGAAAATACTTTTCGCTGAATTTGTAGAATTTCTCAGGGGCGGGATGGTGCTCATGTTTCATATGCCATAAAAGGGGTTTTTCAAAAGGAAGGAGCGTAAGGGTGGTCTACGGCAAGATGTGGGCAACGTTAAGTTGCAACTTGTTGCCCGCTCGGTTACATGATGCCAAACCTCCCACTCGTCGTGGCATATCCTTGTCATTTTTAATTTATGCACAGACCAAGCTTGAACTTTTACAAAACTTAAGAAGAAACTTGTGGGTGGGGCTGTGGCAAAAAAGGGGTCAAACTGTTTTGTTTTTGCCCTTGGCTAGTAATTTAATTGGTTCCATGATCGGGTTATTTCTACGTAAATAAAATGATAAGATTGATAAATAATTTAAGAAGAATACATAAGAGCTAAAAAGGGTAAATCCAAATACAAGAAAACAATTTTCTTGGCCTTATTATAATCTAATTAGTTAATCAAAAATTCTCAATCATTGTAAATAACACTAAAGCAATATTTTAGTCTACGTTTTCGGTCCTTGGAAAAAATGTTCCTGCGGAAATGTAGCCCGAAAATGTGGAATAAGTGCTAACAAGCGTCATAATTACAGTTCACAAAACATGCCTCACATACATATATATATATGTATAGATATATATATATATATGCAGCTTTGCACTGCAAAAACCTCTTGCCCATTTCCCATCTTTCCACAACCACTTCAACACACTTCTTCCCCAGTGACTTTTGCATACTTTTTGGGAAACTTTTAATTTTCGAACTTTTGTCGTTTTGCCTGGCATATGTTCCATGCTCTTTCGCCGCGCTGTGCTCCTTACTCTTTCGCCTCAACTTTCTACACTTTCTCCTCGATTGGCCCAATCTGATGACGTCTTATTAGGCAAATGAAAAGCTGCAAAGTTTTTCCTCAAGAGTCACTCGAGTCATGGGACTTTCCTGAAGGACTTTACTCTCTCTCTCTCTCTCTCGGTTGGATTTCCTTAAATATCGTTTTGAATCCCATATCCTTCTCCATTTTAACCCTCGATTCTTTATCGCTTTGTTTATGAAAGTCGCCCACTAATTGCAAACAAAGGTTGTGTTAAAAGGGGTGTGATAGGTGAGGGGCAAATGGAAGGCTGGAGAAGATAAGCGAGCGGGAAATGCATATGAAAAAGTTGCTAGGATCTCAAAGGCACTGTGCAAAATTTATGTCAGTTGAGAATTTAATGACTAAAAAAGTTAATGTTAAAGAAAATTAATACTCAAAGAGTTATATTTGTGGAAATGCTTGAAAATCTAAAAAATATATGGATTTTCTTAAAGAAAATATGTTAAAAGCAAAACACATACTTATTGTCATAGTGTAAAGTGTGCATTCATGCGTACATCTGCTGCTGCTGCTACTGCTGCTGCTGCGGTGGGGCGTGGCAGCGGCGTTGAGTGGGCGTTTCGGACATATCGCTTCGTTTTTACCCGGGCAACAGTACCGCATTTGCATTTATATGCACATCCTTTGTGCCCAAAGGATATTACATTTTTCCACTTCAAGCATTTTTGTGAATTTAATGAAATTTTTAATTTTTATGCGCGCCAGATGGGCGTGAAGTGGGCAGAAGTGGGGCATGGAGGCTTGGCAGCGTCTCCTTTCGCTTGGACTAACAAGCCGCAGAGATATGTATGCTGCATTTGCTGCTTGCATTCTCAGTGGATCCAGTGGGGTAACTCTCCAACTCTCCCTCTACAAAGATAAATACAGAAAAAAAAGAACTCCTAGAGTCCTAGGCAGGGGAATACCCTTTATCCTTATCCTTTGCTCAACCCTACACTTGTGGTTGCGAGAAAAAAAATACAAGTTGAATTGGCTTTTCGTTTGCACTTGCATTGCGTTTTACACTGCTCTCGGGATTGCGGCCACTCTTGTGATGATTGCTGCTTGATTGCCAGGCATTCCCTGTTTTTCTGCTGTGAGGAATAATCGTATAAACTGTAGAAATTCTGAAAATTATATAGAAAAAAAAGGATATTTTAATAACTTGGTATATTTTCTATAAGTTTTTCCTAACAAGTAAACTTTTATGGGGTCTTTTGATAAATTTAACTTTATTAAAAGTGACTCTTAAAGAAATTGGAATATTTTAATTACTCATGCTAGATCAACATTAAGCTAATTGAATTCACTGAAAGGATGGGATTAGATCTAGGTCGAAAAATTGCTAACTAATGAAAAATGGCTTATCGGAGATTTAGTTGTCTGAAAGTTTACCATTAGGGAAATTAGCCAGCGCATTTGCTTGTGAACCTGCAACAACTGCAACTGCTTTTCGAAATGTTTAAATATTTGTGGCTGTTAATAGGACTACGGTCCCTAGTAATGGGTGCACTTAATCCGCCAGAACCGGAAGTTATAGCACCATTAGTGGTAGCTGCTCTAGAAATTCTGGACGAACAGGTTAGCCCATCGCAGAGCACGTTGTCAGTAATGGAGCTGTCGGAAAAGGATGATCAAATGGATCATCATCAAGGGGATCTAATGACCAGGATGATCAAAGAGGTGGGCATATCGATTGCATTGAGAACATTCCAGAAACCACCCAGTGAAGTTCCGGCTAACTATGTTGTGTTTTTGGTTAACTCTGCTCAGGCCTTCAATACGCTGAGTTTCAACTTTACGGAAATGCATACAACGCGGGAATATAACTTTCTGATCCTGTTCACACGTCGGATGTCCTCGCGATCGGAAAGACTTCAGGTGCTCCGAGATATATCCAGTACTTGTGTGGCCTTTCACACTTTAAATGTTATATTGCTAACCCAAAAGAAGAACGGAATGGTACTTGTTTACACATATCGTATGTTTAATAAGAACTGTGACCTAAGCATTAATCTGAAATTGATAGATCGCTATGAGAATGGGTCGTTTTTGCATGGTCACAAAGCTAGGTCATTTGATCGAGCTTTAAATAGCCTTTCTGGTTGTCCACTCACAGTCAGTTGGTATCCATTGGCACCTTTTGTATCGTTCAAGGGCAATGCCAGTGATCCGGATGAAAGGACAGAAATTTGGCGTTTAACTGGAATCGACGGAGAGCTTATCAAAATGCTGGCGGATATCTTTCATTTTCGAATCCAACTTGAAGAACCATGTGATAAATGTCTGTCGGCGGATATAAATGATAGTTGCAGTGGCTGTTTCGATCAGGTGATCTATAATAACTCATCCATATTGATTGGTGCTATGAGTGGTTCACATCAACATCGATCGCATTTCTCCTTCACGTGCTCGTATCATCAGAGCTCATTGGTTTTTATCATGCATATGAGTTCCCAGTTTGGAGCTGTGGCCCAGTTGGCGGTGCCATTTTGTGCAACTGTATGGATGGCCCTGGTGGTTTCCGGTGTCTTTGTGGCTTTGTTTGTCTGGTTACGAACGAGAATTGTATATGGAATCTCGGATTTAGCTAACCATGGACTACAAGTACTTACCACTCTAATGGGAAATCCTTTGGAGGCATGGAACATTCCCAGAAATAGCTGGATTCGTATATATTATGCAGGCTGGTTACTTATGGTCTTGGTACTGCGAGTTGTTTACCAGGGAAAGCTATTTGATTCTTTTCGATTACCCTATAATAAACCAGTGCCCAGAGATATATCGGAATTAATAAACGCTAATTATACATTGCTTACCCAAGAATATTTGGACTTTTATCCACGCGACTTGACTGTTCTGACTAGGAATGGATCCAAGGATCGTTTTGATTATATTCAAGGATCAGGTGAGGAGGCCAAACTTACAACCACTTCGCTGATTGCCACCATGACGTACTACAATCAAATGCACTGGAGCACAAGTCGATTGACCCACATCAAGGAGCATATCTTTCTCTATCAAATGGTCATCTATTTGCGTCGCCATTCATTGTTGAAAATAGCATTTGATCGAAAGATTAAACAGCTTCTATCGGCGGGAATTATTGGTTATTTGGTGCGGGAATTCGATACCAGTCAGTATGCAACACCCTACGAGGAATACTATGAGGTCTCACCGATTCCTTTGGATGCCTTCTGCGGTCTTTACTATGTTTCTGCGATTTTGCTCTCCGCCGCTGTAGTTGCTTTTATTCTAGAGCTGCTTAGTCAAAGGATTTATTGGTTAAGGAGATTTTTCGAGTAGTGGTTGCGATTTATATTATCTTCTTTAATAAAAATATATGTTAGTTTTGTAGGGCTTTTTTTTAACCTAAACTTAAACCTAAACTTTGGACTACTTACCTTATCCTGCTAGTCTAAAATTTCCATTCGCCAATCTGTGTCCTCGAATGGAGTGGAATGGAATATGGATAGCAAGTTGTGGCACTGCCGCTGGCATTTTGGGCTGTGGCATCAGAAGACAATGCGGAACGTCCTCGTTAGTCGGCACATAAAGAGCAACAGCAACAGCAACAGCAACAGCAACAATAACAGCAAGGCAACCAAATCAGTAGGAGTATGTGGGTGGAACGAAAAAAAATAAAAGGACAAAAACAAGACACGTCCGACATAGAACGAACTCATTAGCCTACATGGCCGCATTTTCTGCCTACACATGTGGCAGCATAAAATGGGGGTACATACACCACCAGTACAAATATTAGCACTAAAAATGTGAAATTTTAAAATTTTGATTATCTATCTTTAAATTTATAAAAAAGAATTATGAAAATCTAAGAAAAATGGAGTTAAAATCATTGGATAATTCATGAAGTTTATAAAAGTTCTACATCAGAAATATTCGAATGAAGTTTATTCATAAATAAATTTAAAAAAAAAAAGGAATTTGTGTTTGAAATATTAAAAATGAGCAACAAAATAAATTCAGAAATGAACTAATAATGAAAGTAATGAGAGGACTAAATAATATTTTGGAAAAGTTAGTTAGTAGTTCCAAGTCATATTTACTTGACCGACTGTCTTTATATGAAAGGGGGTGTAAAAAGCAGGGGTGATGTGGTTGTGTGGAGGGCTGTAGGGCTGAAGGGCAATCGGGGTTCCCAAATGGAACACAAATGCGCTCTGGCTTGTTGCAGCCGTGTGCTTTCCTTGTTGCTACATATTTCGTTTGCTTAAATGCCGGAAGTGTTGCAGGCCACATCAGAAGTGGGCTTGGACGCCACCCACCTTAACCCCTTTAGACCCTAAAAGTGCCTGCAAGCAACAAATGTTGTCAGCATGTAGCATTCAATGTTTGACATATAAGGTCATAAGCCACTAACCCATAGAAATAACAAGAGAAAAGGTTAACAAATTTTGGAAACTTTACAAAATTCCCAACAAATTGAAATACAAATTGTATTTAAGTGGAATATCTCAAAGGATAGATAAACTTCTCAAATAAATGTAATATTTTGGAAATTGTTAAGTTTAGATTTGATTTTTGAAAGGACATTCCATATTCGTTATTTGGAAATAGGATTTCCGGTTTTGTTGTTCGACATTTACCGGTTAGCAGTTATCACAGTCTGTTGTTGCAACTGCAATACTAACTTTTAATTATGCCTTTTAAGACTTAGCAGATTTTGTAGTCTTGTCATTCGAAAAGTTAAAAGTTTTTGTTGTTTTCAATGAAGAGATTTTTGCCTTACCCTGTATTAATTGCATTTAATTGCAGTCTAAAAAATTGGGTAAGGGGTTATACCATATATGTATATATATATATAAACACCTGCTTTGGTTTTATGAAGGAATTTAGCCAGCCAATGGGCGGGCACTTCACACCCAATGGATTTCAGTGAGACTCTTGTGTGATAAGAGCTGATAACAAAGGTAAACAAAGCCGTCGCCAGATGGATGCCCTGATGCCCTCCATCGGCTACTTTGGCGGGAAACGCTGTAATTCGTCAGATAGTCTGATACACAAAGCGCATGCGTTTGAAAATCCGACATTAGACGGTCGTTGAGGCATCGTTTTTTGTTCCCACATTGAAAGTATAAGAGCCAGAAAAACCAGTATCCAATGGTTGACACAGAAATATCGGGAAATTTATGCAAGATAACGAACCAAAAGCAAAGGTTTGGCCCGCCACTGAAGATCAGGATCAGCATAAAATTATGTCTAATGAGGAGCCAAAAAATTCATTTCAGCACAAGGTCTTGCAGATTATGATTGAATATGGAAAAGTGCACTTTAAACTATTTTTTGTATACATAAAGAAATAATATTTATATAACTCAATAATTTATGGCATGGCAAAAAACTATAGTTAATGGAAATCCAATCGAAAGTTCTGAATAATTATTAGTTATGCAAGAAATGTAAATTCTAAAAAATATTTTTCCAAGTGCACTTTTTGGCCTTGCTATTTTTCCATAAAAGACAACTGCTCTTTGGCCATCAGCACAGTTGAAGCCCTCGAGTAGTACAAAACTAAGATGCTGAAACAATCTATAATCCTGATTCTGATCCTGTTGATTGCTCTCTGCTGTTTGTCAGCGGAATTGCCTGGAAATGCTTACTTGCCACCACTAAGGAAAAATCATAGAAGTTCCGATGATGAAACCACACTAGTTGACAATGGATTTCATTTTGATATTGATCAGGATTCCTTTGAAAGGTATGCCCCCATCTTTGTGGATTATCCGGGGATTCATCAACTGCTAAGACAGCAACAGGAATACGCGTTGGATTTGCCATTTGAGGGAAAGCCACATGAACGGAAAATTCCAGAGATTGAAAATGATTTTGTAGTCAACAAACATTGGTAAATTTGTGTAAAGAACAAATTTGAAACTAAATAAAGGCAACGATTATTAAACATACAAAGGATTAAATATGTTTAAAAACAACCTTAAACTTTGGCTAAGACAAACAGTTTATTTGTTAATGGTTAACAGATAGAGAATGGATTAAATTTCATGGAAACTCAAGAACTTTCATTCAAAACTTCTTCGAATTAATTTGCTTTTAATAAATTTGATTTTACAATTATTCTTTTGAATACCCTAACTTCTGTACACTTACTTGAGTGACCTTAATTTTTGGATGAGTGTTGAATGAAATGTGTGCAACTTTGACTTTCCTTCAGTGGAGTGCATAACCGCAACTTAATCCCCGACCTGTCCTTAGCCGTATCAGAAACTTTTAGACCGATCCTGGTTTTTGGCTTGGCTTGGCTTGGCTTGGACTGGACCAAACTCCACGGTCCCCTTCACTATGCCTCTAGCTGTGTGTGCGGTTTTAATCAAGTTTCGCCACTTAAGTTTGTGCTCAGGTGGAAAACACTCAAAAGCCGCCTGACCGAACCGAACTTCACTGAGCTGAAGCCCCCTTTTTCCAAACGCCCCTGCCAAAAGTTTCAAGAGCTTTGCGACGCGTTGTGGGTGAGTTTCGTTTTTTGTTTTTAATTTTTGTGTTTGTGTTTTGTGGGTATTTTCCCTTTTCCCCTTTTTTTTTTTTGTTTCTCTTGGTTGGTGGATTTCTACTTGGCATAGAGTGGTCGGTTTTTGGCCGAGTGGGTCAACCTGTTACACATCTGTTTCGCTGCAGGACCGTTTGCCATTGTGTTGGATACCAACTATGTAGCTCCACTTCTGTTGGAACTATAAAATCAATTAAATTGAGTGCCAGCATGATTGGGCAAAATGATTGTGGAAAATGTCTTGTGGGTGCTATTAACTAAAATCATTCAAGTTATTTATCAAACAGGAAAGCCTTAGGGGAGAGAGAGAGATCCCTACATAGGGTTTCTTTTCATAAATATTGGTAGAAAATTAAAATACTTTGGAAATTGAAGTTAAAATAATAGCTATTATCGCTGGATTGGTTAATAAAAAAGTTAAGAAAACTTGATAAGTTGGGAGTATATCTACTTTTAAGAGTCCCTCAAACCACAAAATCCAAATAATCGGTCTCAAGAATGAGGCTTGAACTCGCATCCGGCCACATGAGTGTGTGTTAGTGAGCCAAAGTCAATTGTCAAATTGACACACACACATACACATACAGAGCGACATATGGTGGCAAGTGCATGTGTGTGTGTGTGTGTGTGTGTGTGTGTGTAGCTGTTTTGTTGTTAGCTTCATTATTTGCCAAGTAAAAGTAATGAGACTTTTGTTGCCTTGTTGGGTTGCACATGAGTGCGCCTTCTATGAATTCTGTGTTTGCACACACACATACACGGACACACTCATATATACACTGGGACACACACACAGATGCAAACACAATGCGTTTTCAGAAAATAAGGTTTCACACACATACATAAGCGTCCGCTTAGTATCTGTATGAGAGTATGTGAACGCTGGCCTTTTGTGTATTGGGCAAACAAAAGCGCAAACCGTTGACAGACAGGGGGTAGCACAGTGGGTTGGCAGCCAAAAAGTGTTAATTAAATATTTTCAAACTAAATCGTTATATATAATTCAAAAGTCAGAAGCGTTGAAAGAACAAACATTTTGTAATATCTTTGAAAATATTAATGATATAAAGCATTATGAAGAGATCTGAATAGTATGCTATGGTTTTTGTCGAAAACAATAACTCAAAAAAGTTAACTTAAGTCAGCTAGTGATTTCTTTGATTACCCAAGTATTTTACTAATTGTAAGCACTTAAAGCTCAATTCAAAAATTTTCGTCAGTGCAGCTTAGGAACAAAAATTGCAGGGAAGTAAACAAAGTAAAAGCATTTGGAAATGCAGGAAAGCAGTGGGTTTTGGGCTGCAATTTCAGTGGATAAGTGGTTGGGGGCGCAAATGGGTCCTTTGGTGGGGCGAAATAGAAGCTCTCCTGGCTGCTGGCTAGTTTGCGATAAGAACCACCTTCAGGTTCGTCCATTGGCTGCCTGCCTGCCCCCCCTTTTTCTCTCTCTCCCTCTCTCCCTCATCGCCATCACAAAAGTAGCTGCTATTTTGGGCTACAGCCTCATATTTCCAATACAAAATAAATTAATTTTCATAATAATTGGCTTACTGTTACTCCGCTTAACCCCTTTTATCGCCCAGCAACCAATTCACTGCATTGCCCCGGGCTTCTGTTTCCATTCGAATTCTACACCCCCCGTTAGCCCCAGTTTTGGCAAAACCCTTTTTTGCGGAACTGGGCGCCAATAATAATAACATTGTTAACACAACGTGCGCATGTAATAAAATCGTTTATTGAATTGGCCATAAATTTTCGCAGCTACAACGGCCGCAAAAGGCGCACAAAGTCAAAAAGTTGTTGCAGTCAGTCGTCCGCAGGGGGCAGTAGGGGGTTAAGGAGATATATATATATATATATATATCCATTGATGGCTTGCCTTTTGTGCAAAAGTTTAGAGAGAGAGAAAGAGAGAGTGGTAGAGGAGGCGGGATGGAATTTAGGAGGCAAGCAAAAGGGATAACCGTTGCAGGAAATATAGGTAAGGGGAAAACTCGAGGGGTTAAGTCTTGCTTTGTGGGTTAAGCCATTGGTGCTTGGGTGTTTATCTCGTTGCCTGTGTGTGTGTGTGTGTGTTTTATCGTTCACCTGTAAGTTGCAACTAACTCAACTTCTAAAATGCTTCAAGCGCAGTCGAATTTGAGGGTAATGAGCCTTAATGAGCTTAAGTAATTAAATTAGCAGTCTGCAGCGCTTTGAAATGGGTAAAGTGATCTTAGGAAAGTTTAGCTTACTTTTTTGTATTATTTAAAAAACATTTTTAAATGGTTCTTTTATTACACATCCCGCTACTCGAATACATTTAATGTTTTCATTTTCCTCTCATTAATTTAATTTTCGTAGTAAGTCTGTACTTCAACTTGATCCCATCGCATTCTTTTCATTTGTAATTAGACACATCTTTATCCCTTGAAGGATATTTTCTTTGTTCTGATGTGTGCGAATCCTTGGTGGACATTGCACATTACGTCCATTAATTTGCGCCAGCGTTTTAACTACCGACATAAATTGCATGTAGCGTCATTAATAAGCATAAAAGCGTCTTCGAAGTAATGGGGGGATGGGGTATGGGAAAATCGGTTGGAAAAGCGACTCCTTGGTGGCCACTTCGGCGTGCAAAGGATGCGCTTAAAATGTTTTCGATGCTGTTCAATAATTTCCCCGCCAAAGAACCGAACAGAGAATGAAAATGAGGACGAGAACGAAGATGCGACAGCGACTAATGAGCTTGATAAACGAGCCGAGACGATAAGATCCTGTTTCTCCGTCACTTGTTTGCTTAAAAAATTGCGCGCTCAATGAAGTGATGTGTAAATAACGGTATTATATTTCAAAAGGCTCTCATCTCGTTTAAGCTTAACTTTAACCCCCTTTAAATCACCCCACCCGCCCCCCGTTGTTTACAAACAAAATCCCAGTCTTCTCTCTTATAATTATTGGTTGGATATGCAACAGGAAGTGCAGAATGTGAATTGGACTTGGATGGAATGGTGGCTTATCTCACCAAATAGTACAAAGGACATTCCGTACGAGGACTTGCCAATCGTGAATAATGAATGGGATCATGTTGGCAACAATAGACGGGTTGCCACTTCCCTGTACCTCAACTTAATGCACATTTTTCTACTCTCTTTCTCCGGCTCATTGTGGGATTTTTTTCTTTTCCCAAGTAGCCTATGATGCACTAAGAAAAATGAAGAAAATCCTTTAATTTTTGAAAAAATTTACTAGACTATTTAAGGATTTTGTGTTCCATTTAGATATTTCTGCCAGTGTACGCACTTCACTTTACTTTTAATATGTTAAACTGCGAGAGTTGACGACGCACAAAAGTGCGGCATGCCAAGCATGTGGACCATTACCCCCCAACCCTTAGCCTTTCAATTTACCCCCTCCCCACCTCCCCAACTAATGTGGAGTTCATAAAAAAAAATGTAAAGAAACGAGAACAGAGGCGCGGAGGCTATGTGGAATGTGGAAGGGGGTTGGAGGAGGGGTGCAGATAGGACACAAAGCCAATGCACAAACTGTAAAACTGTAGCCAAGCACTTTTTGATTTATGGAGAGCCAAGCGGGACTAGGTTAGACAGAATGTGGGCACAAAAACGGGAGGGGCTTTTCTATGAGAGAGCGCAGTTTGGTCGGAAGTGTAGACAATTTGTTAGAATTTATACAAAAAAATGCAGGCCGCTTTGCCCGAGTTAAAAATGGGGGGAGGGGATACTGAAGTGTTTCGCATATACATATATATATATATATATATATATATATATATATTATATTTAGTGGGACAGGACAGCAGGTCCTTTTTGGCCTTTATAAAACATGAGAGGCATTTCATTTTAAAGCAGCTCAAACAAAACAAATGCCTCGGCTTTTGTGTGGACTTGAAACTAATGATTTTCACTTACCACAGCGACAGAGGAAGAGCTGGGGAAAGTGGAGAATAGCTGGTCGACGGGGGATCCATCCATTCCACCCACACACACACACACACACACGGAATCTCAGCACAGATTTACATGACATTATGTCATTGTTGTTGCTTCTGCTTCTGCTGCTGCTGCTGTCTGTTTTTATGACGTCAATTATGTTTATGAGTGTCTAAACAAAAAGTCTTATAAAGCCGTCAGCATTCCCGTTGTCCTCGCATATGAGTGGGTGGCATTTTGGGTGGGCTACATCCTTGGACGTAGTTTGAGTTTAAGTGAATTTATTACCATGAGCAAAATTTATTTAAGCAGTCAAATGCACGTGAAGTGCATCTCAAGAAAGCTGTCACACAGTCTGCCCCTCGCCACCACTTTTCTCCTTCCCCCCCTCTCTCCACCCTCTTCTTTTTACATCTTGCTCTGACGTCAAAGGGACCAAAAAGGATGAAAATGGCAAGGAATTGGGGGAAAAACCAGGGCCAGGCTGCAGACAAATGCATGTGTAGCAAGATGCTGCTTTTTTCAGGGTCTTCTTCTTGTATATTAACATTAGGGTTAGCCAGGCTCGTAAAACTATATAAATTAAACAATACTTGGTAGATTTTGATAATGCAATAGATAAAGAGAGACATAAACGAATTTCTAGCTTTTGTTAAATAAGATTTATGCGAGATGCCTACTTGATGTCTCTAATAATCGCGTTTGATTGATTAAATATGGCAACTTGCTATAGCTCTTACAATTTTAATCCAGATCCTTTTAATGAGAAACTTTCTTTGCCTTTTCTGCGAAATTTTTGCAAAAATAATTTTCTCCGTTTGTTGACTCACCTTCGTGTGATGCACTTGTGCCAATGAGTGACATTTCTCGCACACACAGACACTTACGTAGACACAGGACACACTAGCAGGACACCCGAACACATACTTGCTTATACTTATACACGAGGCTGGGGGCAATGCAAATTCAACTTTGCCGCTGCTTGAAGCAGTTGTCAGTAATTTCAAGCGAATGGCAGGCCAGGACATTTCACAGAGCATCATCAGAAGGACATGCAGGGGCAGGAGCAGGAGCAGGAGCAGAAGCAAGAGGAGATCAGAAGCAAAAGCAGGAGAGCAGTGGCAAGAGCATGAGCTGGAGGTTGCAGTGCCAACATTGACGAGGACAACTCCTGCTGCAGTTGCAGTTCCTGGTTGCCTGAAATCAAATCAAATTCCCGACAAACATCAACAACAACCAGGACATGTCAGTGCAGTAAGTGTCTATGTGTGTGTGTGTGTGTGAGTGTGCGAGTGCCAGGATAATCAGCGTGATGGAGGGAAATTGAACAACAAGTTCCCGATTGCATGTCTTGGCCAGAAATCACAATTTTTAATGCCAAATAATTCGGACTGGCTGACAGGCATTGCCAAGCCCCCATTTCCCCCCTCCCTAAAAAGCCCTCTGTTAACCTTTTTCACAAAATTTTTTGGAAAAACTTGCTAGAGAGGACAATTTCCGGCTTTCTGTTTTTCCAATCAGATTTTTCTATAGCAAAGCTTTTGCGTGGGGAAATTAAGTTTAATGTCTTTCACATTTTCGTTAAAGGAAGTCGGACATAGTGAAATTTTTATTAATTAACGTTTGATATCATTTTTATTATATTTTAATATATATTTTTACACTTAAGCTTTGATTAATTTCTTTGACATTCCTTATAGTTCACATTCTTGAGTTCAACTTTCTTTGGTTTGATTTTGGAATACTTTCAATTATGTCGTGACCATTTTTGTGGCCAACTTTGAATTCATTTTATTTATGCACGATTTGGTGGCCTTGAAGGACACGATAGGCGGTGAGCGGTGGGCGTGACCGCACCTACAATTTCCGCATGTCAACTGCACTTTGCATGAGTGCTCAGCGAAGGCTTAACAATGGGGCGGGGTTTTTATATTTTTTGTATGGGACAGGGGGCCTGGCGCGCCCACACTTGTGCCACATCAGCTCTTCAACTCTTGACTCCTCGACTTGGTTGTGCTTTTCCACTGGATCATCGTCGTCGTCGTCGTCATCATCATCATCGTCGGTGTGGTTCGCTTTCCCCAGTTTTCCTGCCTGATTTTCCCGCTTTCTACGTACTCGATGCTTTGTTTTTTTTTCTGTGTGGCATTTCCACTTGATTTACAAAACTCAACGCAACAACGAGGATAAGGGGCAAGTGGGGCAACAACAAAACCACATTTGACTGACTGACGACTGACTGCCATGCCCCCACCATAGGCCCCTGTACCCACTATATACACCGACCCCCCTGTCTGAGTATAGTTGTCTGTGTGTCTGTGTGTGTGTGCCTGTTACAGAGTTGATTTATATGCACGTCGATTCGACGTAATTGAAGACGTGATCGAAATTCAAATTTTTGATTTTTAGAACCCGTGACTGGATTGGCATTTGTACAGGGACCTTCCGCTAGTTCCATTCACTACTGTCCGCCCCACAACCCCTTTTTGGCCACCCATATTTTCCCCGCTTCTTTTTTTTTTTTGTTGGCCTAATGTGATTTTGGTTTTTCATTCTCTTCGCCTTGTATTTGCCATGAAATAATTTTCTTTTTTTTTTGCTTTTTCTTTCTATTCTTTCTTTCGCAACAAGTAGGTTCTGAAAGGAACTATTTTTATCAATGAACTTGCATTTTATTGGAAAGAAAGAACTTGAAGAACTTTAAATAATATTTTTATATAAATTATTTACTAAAAAGAGATAAAGGGATTCAAGCAGTACTTAAATATTTGCTTATTTTGGAAACCCAAGAACTTATTTATTAATATTTAAATTAATATTTAAATTAAATTATCATTAAATCTATCATTTTTTGTTTCCATTTCACTAGATATTTCTTGTATCCATAATGAATTTCATGAACTTTTGTATTGTAAATGAGTAACAATATAATCCGCAGAGTATTTTCGACTATACCTTTTGCAGATTAAGTCCCTTAACTTGTTTGTCGGTTCTCCGCTGGGATGAGTTCCATGCCATCCCATGCCCATCCCGATCTGTTTGCCATTCCCAATCCGGAGCTCAATTCCCGGATTCAACTTCAGACTCTGTCAGGCATTTTCCATCCCAAGCTTCAATACGGTTAAATCAGCCATGAAAACGGATTGTCGTCTGTGCATTTTTGCATTTCTTTTGCTCATTTCATTGACTGGCTGGCTGGCTGGCTGGCGGAATGAATGAATGAATGAATGAGTGAATGAGGAACTGTCTGAATGACTGAGTGGCATGGCCTGACAAAACGTGACCTGCTGTCATGTCTAACAGTTTTCAATAATAATGGTTACCATCCAACCATAACCACCCATGATTTTCCACCTTTTCTGCATTTTCCGACCCCCCATTTGCTTATTAACACCGCCTTAATCTTGGGGATTATGTCTCTTTCACTCACTCACACACACACACACGCGCATACTTTAATTCGACTGACATTAACTTCAACACCTGGTGGGGGTGGAATTGGGAAGGGAAAATGGCTGGAAAAGACAGCAGAGGAAGATGGGGCGGGACACCTCGCACTCATCCAGATGCTAATGGTTGTGTTGTCGACACTCCAGACATTTTCTGGCTTTATGTGTCACCCGTTTGTTGCTTCTGCTTTTCCACCTACCTGACCCCCTGCCCCCTGCCATCTATCCAACTTTTCCACCTTGATCCTGTTGTTCTGCCTTTGAAAGTTTCTAGGCTCAGTGATGAGGCCTATCTGTGATTTTCTTCGCTTAAATCACTTTAAATAAAAAATAAGATGATTTCTTTTTCGAATTAAAAACTAGTTTAAAAAGAGAAAAATAATACATATTAAGATTATTTTCTAATTTATTATAATTTTCCAGAAGAAGTCACAATATTTTTTACCTTAAGACATAGGGATGTTAGTGACTGAGTGTGAGGATGTTTGGCTTTGCTTGTGTGCTCCGTAGAGTTTGCCTAGGCTGTTGTGCTTTTGTCTTATGTTTCGTTTGTGTTAATATTTACATAATTGTGGTTAAAAGTAGCTTTTAAGATGTTTTTAACTGGCATATGGAGAGATGGAGCCTCCTCCTTCTTTCCCAACATTTTCGTTGCCATTTTGTCAGGTTTGGCTTTTGTTTCTGCATTTAATGGCCCCCAGAAACAACAACTGACAAATGTTAGAATCCGTTTTATTGCTGAAATCTCCGACCCCTTTTTGGCCAACAACTCCTCCCTCCCCCGCCTCCACCATCATCACTTCTAATGGCTTGACATTTTAATAAAGAGGAGTTTTAAGAAAGGTTGGTGGGAAGGGGTGGCAGGAAAACTACTGCCAACAACTTTTGGATACGAGTATTTCGGTTTGTTTTGGCCAACAAAAGCAGCAATTTTTCACTATTTACACACAGAAATGCTGAAAATATTTTTGGCAAACCTCAAACATTCCTTTTTTTATATTTTTTGCTTTCGATTTTTTTTTCGTAACTCATCTCGGCTTTTTTGTGCCTGGATTTCGAGATGAATTTGTTGGTAAAATTGTTTGGGTTTTAAAATATTGAAGAGGAGAGAGAGGAGTGGTTGTGGGTGGTGGTGGTAGAACTATCCACATATCCGTTTGTGTTTAGTTAGTTGAATGGTGAGCGAGAGGGGAGGGCGGTGGGCTTGGTTTACCCACTATCCCCCCCAAAAAATGTTTGTTGGTTTCTCTCAGAATCTGAATTTCCACCAACCCCCGTTCTGTTTTCCCCATAGTTTTCCCTTCAAGCTTGTTAGCAAACGTTTACGCAAGTGGGCGGTAGGACTATGTGTGGGCGCGGCACTTGATGGTCTGCAACTTTTGTTGTTGGCAGGCAGCTAGAGAGGAGAAACTTTAACTTTTTGGCAACTTGTTTCAACGCTTCCAACCATCGGCTGGCGGAGATTCGAAGGCTTGGGTTGGGTGTTATCAAGGGGTTAAAGGTGGTCAGCCGCATAAGGCAAAATTGTGGCTGGAAAGCTCAAAAGTGCCGCAAAGCGAAGAACAAGTGATAATGGCTAAGTCTAAGCTATAATGGATTATCACAAAGTTTTCCAAGATTTTCTTTAGATTCAGGTGTTATTTATATCTCAGCTTAGGTCTTATTAATGTATTTTATATGCCATTTAAAACTTAACAAATGTTTTTTTTTAAATATCAAATTCAAGATTTCTATTGATCCAGCAGGCTAGGCTTTTTCCTTTCGGGAGTTTCAAAGCGATTTAAGTCTATATTTTCCAGTGCAATACGTTCTCTCTCTGTGAAGTAACAAAAAAAAAACATATTCGAATATATATTTTAGTAAAATTTAAAAAGAAAACAATATATTGATAAATATATATTTTGAAAATAAAGAGAATGGCTTTTGGACTGCCAATTTGGACGCCAGTGTTCATATTCTTCTTGCTCTTTTTGTCCATAGTGTGGGGTAAGCCTTCTCGTAAGCAAATATATCCTTAAAGGATATAGTTCTTGTTGAAATTAAAAGATTAATATTCCAATAGTGGTAGTGAATCGCGAGGGACTATTGGATATGTACCGCCGTCAGGTTCATGAACCAGATTCTCATAAAGGAGGAGTGGAATGTCCACAAATGGGTTTCAAGCGTAAAAGCTTCGATCGTTCATTGAATCGTGAGTTGGTTTTAGTTTTATTGGGTTTTTTTTTTATTAGTAATGACAGATTTGTTTAGCTTTTGAAGCTTTTCTTGCGTGGCCTCGAAGAACTCAAGAAATTGACGAAGTGGACAAGGGTGAGCCATTTCAAGGCAATTGGTGTCAGCATGGACATATAGCCCAGGATAATGGCGAGGATCTTGAACCCAAGTTGGGAATGATGGAATATGACGATTCAGATCATATCAATCAGAGTCCAGATCTAGATACGATTGATAATTTTCAATGTAAGCCAAAACCAAAGTGTTGCCTCATCCAAAAAACCCATATAATCGTACAAATTTTAGCCATCAATTCTGGGTTGGTAAATAATCCCATGATGGATTATAAACGAGAATTTGCCAGCGATGAGGCCAATCCCTATGTGGAGAGCCTTGAACAGCGTTTTGAGCCCTTGCCGAAACCCTATTCAGAATAGCCCATGTTTCTTATGAAAATCTTTAAATTTTTAAGAGTTTAATCGATTTTATCTATCAAATAAAGCATCTTTCTGTTGTACTTCTTAAAGTCATTTTTTTCTATTTGCAATTCTTAAGACCTTTTATTTTGCTGATGTAACTTAACCATTAATTTCATTCAAGTTGAGACAAGTTGAAAGTGAATTTAGTTTTTGACAAAACAATACTTAATTATCCTGTGTGTGAAGGGAGCGGCTGTCCAATTTCAACTGTCAGTGTGGAAAAAATGAGAAAAATGGGGGGAATGGAAAAATGGAAAAGTTTACTTGATCGGTGATTTGCGTGGCGCCCTCTGATGCCCAATTTGGGAGGGCAATTACCGAGCGATTAAAGAGCGCGAAGTTTCCATGCGAAAACTCGGTGGAAAAACTGATGAAAGTTTTTCGGACCGAACAGCTGGCGCGCAATAAACGTAATCAAATTTAATTTCAACAAATTGCTTTTGAATTACGCGACCTTCGTTGGCGCCGCTCAAGCGCAAAAGAGTTGGAAAATATTTAAAATAATAATAACTTTTCCAACCCACCCAACTGCCTTCTTCTTCTGCCACTCCTTTCATTCGATGTGTTTGTGCCGCAGAACAATTGCCACAATAACAACAGCAATTTGCGCTTGAAATAATGGAATGAGTGGCCGCCCACGCGGCGTAAACGTAATCATAAAAATTATGATTCATTTGCCATCAGGCAGACAGACAGACCGATAGATAGATATGGCGGAAAAAATCGGACATGGGTTTGAGTTACGAAGAGTTCCGAAAGCTCGGTTCCTAATAAACAAATTAATTTGATTGAAGCCCGAATGCCAAAACTTTTCATTACAAGTTGCAAAAGCAAATTTCATGTTTTTTTTTTTCGTCTTCAGGGTGGCAAATCCATTTGGTAGAATTAGCTGGGAACTGGAAAAGTTTCTGCTTTAAAATTGCTACAGAAAATGTTTTCAAATCTGAAATTATTGAAGTTTTACAAGTCAATTCTGGGAGCTGTGAAAAAAGGTGGCTTTTTAATGTAGGATTTTCATTAGACATAATTATGTATTTTGTGTGAGCCACCTTGAAGGTGGAATAGGGCTTAGTAAATGTTTGGTTAAAGTCATGATTGCGTTTTAAAAACTTTTGATAAAATGCCAAAGGAATCGACTGAAGTTGTTCTTTGAAAATTCTGCAATCGTTTCACATTATTTTAGCCACAAATCGCAGAGGACTAGTGGCTAGTGGAAAGCGGCTAATTAAGGCTTTCACAATGGACCACGTTGTACACCGTTTGCTCTCTTTTTTCCTAGGTAAATTACATGTAAACAATCGTCCAATCCTGTTTGTTTGCTCTTGTTTTCCCTTCCAGTTTTTTTCCAGTTTAAGCCATCATCAACTGACAATTTTGTGGCTCTGCGATGTCCTTCTGGCCGCCGCTCATTGCACATTTACATTTTGGCCAAAAGGGGGGGGAAAGGGTCGAAAAGTCAAACTAATCTAACAACTGCTAACAATAAGAACCAGCCTTCTAACGCCACGGGCAGCCAACGGGTTTTCGCCTCTTTTTCACTACCATTTCCTCCCCCCCCGGGCATTTTCCCGGCTTTGTGCATGTTGTTTTAACAAAGCATTTTGTAGTTGGCAAATATATCTGTGCTTCTGTATCTGTTCGTATATTTGTATATTTGTATATACATATATATGTATGTGTATATTTGTAGGTTGACAATTTTGCGTTGTCAGTTGTTGTTTTAATTAGAAAACTTTTTTACCAAACAACAGCAGTAGTAGAAGCGGCAGTCACAGCGTCAGGCAGTAGCAAAAAAAGGAATCCGAGGCAATGGCAAAACTCAAAAAACGATTTTGAACGCCACAGTACTTTCATCACATCACCGCCCCCTTTTTATACCCGTTACTCGTAGAGTAAAAGGGTATACTAGATTCGTTGAAAAGTATGTAACAGATAGAAGGAAGCTTTTGCGACCCTATAAAGTATATATATTCTTGATCAGGATCAATAACGAAGTCGATTGAGCCATGTCCGTCTGTCCGTCCGTCCGTCCGTCCGTCCGTCCGTCCGTCCGTCCGTCCGTATGAACGCTGAGATCTCAGGAACTATAGCAGATACAAATCTGAGATTAAGCATGAAGATTCTTGAGGTCCCGGGACAGCGCAAGTTTATTACAGCATCCTGCCACGCCCACTCTAACGCCCACAAATCGCAAAAAACTAAAATTGCTGAAATCTCAGGAACTATTGTAGATGGAAAGTTGAAATTCAGAAAGTATAATCTTTAGATGACAGCGCATCTTATAGTGCTACTACTATCCGGCCACACCCACCCATACGCCCACAAGGCTCGAAAGACGGTTTTCGGATTTTCTAGAAAATCTGATATCTCGGTAACTATAAGAGATAGAAAGTTCGGATCAAGCATGTATGTTTCTATGATGCTCCCAATGCGAATTGTTTTTTTCCGATCACGCCACGCCCACTCTAACGCCCACAAAACCCGAAAAACCAAAAATGCAAAAATCTCGAAAACTATAAAAGCTACACAATTTTGCTTAGGAACACGTATTTAAGAGATGCGTCTGCAACTTGTCACGAAGTTGCATCCGGCCACGCCCACTCTAACGCCCACAAACCGCGGAAAACTGTGGAGTCTATAATATTATTATGAATGCCTTTGTTTGACCTTGTGTAACTTTTTTCTGTTAATATCTATCGAGTTACAAAAGATTTTTCAAATCGGAACATTATTTCGCTATTTATGAAGAAATTAAGGTTATAAGGCTCCACATGGGCAGTGACGTCACTATAAGCATACTCAACATACTTCCTCTGACAATAGGTGGCGCCTTTTGAATTTCCACTAGCAAAATTAATATTTTAAAATTGTGTAAAACAGTAACGGGTATCTTATAGTCGCGGCACTCGACTATAGCGTTTCCTCTTGTTAGTATTTGCATTTTCTATTTTATTTTCATGCCTGCCAAATGAATAATGAATTTCCTCTTCATTTTCACATTTTCGGATTTCTGTTTCTGTTTTCCATCTGCTGTGCTAGTGTATGGGTTTGAATTACTTATCGCAAAATTCATGGGCTCACAATAAAAGCATACCATTTTCAATCAGATCTAGAGAAGTGATATCCGACTATCCATCTAGACCAAGAAAATATAGTTTCCCTCATTGCATTTTCTTATTCCGTCATACCATCTCCCTTCTTTATTCGATTTTCATTTCTTTTTTTCTGTTTATTTTGCAAAATTAAATCCAACGTTTTAGTTTTATGAGGCAAAACTTGCTTTGTTTGCTAAATGATAAAGGCAAAGAAGAAGGGGATGCGGCCAACCGCAAAGCCAACGGCCTAAGAAGGCACCAATTCGAATGACGAATACTCTTATTTAAATATTGTTTAAATTTTAATGTTTATATTTGTTTACTTGATTACAGAGCAGTTCTTAAGGATATTTTTAATTTATAGTAAAAATATTTTTATAACCTTTATTAACAAAACATTTTTTCTCTAAAATGCTAAGTAGCCTCATCAATTCCTAGGGTATATCTTTGATCTTCGCGAGAATAGAAATAAAAACGCTGCATCTGATGATGCACAAACACAGAAACTCACATGGACAGAGTCACATGTATTAGAGTGCGGTTTGTTGTCAATCTCGTTAGAAACGAATCCTTTCGTAATCCTTGTGCTTCAGCTGTAGCTTTTTTTTTTGCGCTTTGCTTTATTTTTGTTACTAGGACGTTGACGTCACTGGGCGATTCATGCGTTTTTGCTCCTTAATCCTGCTCTGCTGCTGCCACCATCAAGATGAGCTTCATGGTAGTAGTTTTAGGAGGGGACTAAAGTCGGGTTAGGAATGGGTGGCACTACCACTATTACCATCGCTATCAGCAGCTCAGCATCTAACCATCTTACCGCCCACATCCAACAACATGCAGCGTTTCCAATTTCACGACGAGCCCTGCAAATCCCACATAAGAAATTGTTTTCCCCAGTTATCTTTCATTTTCTGCAGCCGCTTTTCTTTTGCTTTTATCGGGGAAATGGGGGAGCTGAAAAAAAGGCCTTGTAATTATTTTTGGGCTAGTTAAAAATGTTAAATGCCGTGGCTGGCTGTACGACAACTACAAATGGGCCATCATTATTTATTTTTGGTATATTCTTGGCATTCACTTCGCTAAATATGATTGATGGCCCTTGTCGCGTTACGTAATCGCGCTGTCATAAACGAATGTGTGTGTTAGAATGTGTTTTGGGGTGTGCGGTTGTCTAGGTGTGAGTTCGGCGAACTTAAGCCATAAAAAGACATAATTTTTTGCAGGTGTGCCGTCAAGGGTCTTAACACTTTGTTGCCGCTTTTCAGTCACTGACATGCAGCCGTCACAAAGTTGTTTACGTGATTTCCAGATAATTATCAACATATTGTGTACACTGCGAAAAATAAGTAAAGCAAATAAGGGGATTGAAAAATATACATTAAATTTAAATGATTTAAGCCTTTTTGTGCAAACTTTAGTTGAGCTATTTTACAGAGGCAGAAAGCATTACTTAGAATCAAACTAAGAACCTAGATTTTCTGTTATAACTTCCGGCAGAAAAAAATATATATATTTCCGGTATAACAAGTATTTAAATTCTTTTAGCTGCCGGCTTTAAAAGTGTCCTTATTCGATTCAATTCAATTCGATTGAGCTCAAAAGCAGCTGAGTCAAGGACAGACAACAAACAGGAAACTGGGGGTAATGGAACGCATATTTACGCATTAATCAATGGGGCAAACACGGCTAGAAGGAAATAAAAATGAATGAAGGAATGGCCGAAGATGGTGAACAGGTATCCCCTCCATTTTTCCGCCAACCTCCCAGACGCTTTTCCTTTCCCCTCTTCAATGTCCTCCGCTCATTTCCATTTTGATCCTAAGCTTGGCCTAGCCTGTTCATGTGGAAATCGAGTGCGGTTTGTGCGTCTTGGTAGACGTAACAAGAAATAGAAATAAATATTTATGTATCGACTTTGTGATACCTGTTAATGTAAGGTTTTAAAAGATCCTCAGATCTTAACTTTAAAGGATATGGTAAAATATACTTAAGTTCTATAAACTCTCT